TTTTTTTTTTTGTATTCCATAAATATTGTTCAGAAGTTCGGAATGCCGAAACTTTATTACAATGTAACTTTCCGTGTCGTATATTTCTCCATCGCGATAGATGGTATGAATCTGTCATAGTTATCCGTATATTTTGCACAGTTTCTTGTTTTCAATAATGCGTTCATACATGCTTTTCATGAGCAGTATTTTTGTGGCGAATTTTACTAAAAATGCGAGTGGAAAATCTAGGTCGTTAAAGGTCTTTGTTTGCCGGAAGAACTGACATTTTAGAATGAACGATAGCGACGATATCTCAAGCTTCGGTATCCGCTCGGTGGTCGTCGTCGTGCTGACTCTCGGCGAAAAGATTCGAGAGATCGTCGAGAAGTTGCGGATGTCGGGGATGGGAAGTAACGGAGAGCCAATCGTGCGGCTATAATAGCCACGCAAAACTAGTTGAAGAAGTATTGGCATGAGACATCGAATGCCCGATCAACTAAGACTCTTAGTTTGCGTTAAAGAAAAAGAGAGAGAAAGAGTTGAACATCATCTCGATATATCCAGTTATTCGATTAATCGTGTTTCGGTAACATGATTTATAAATGCAATAAGGATTTGCATAAAGAGAAATCGTAAGAATAAATTATACATTCCAAAGTATTTTCTGGTAGAAAATAAAAGAGAAAACATTTGCTTTAAAGTTACAGCATAAAATAAAAACACATTTCGCGCATGAATAATTTTGCACTTTTATTATTACGTTTTGTTCTTATTAATTTGTTTGTAAGCCTTGATTTGTTACGTTTTGCATTATAGCTGCCAATAATCTCATCATATGAGCATGTATAGAATTATAATATACAATTTCTAACTTATATAATGTTGTAGCTCCTACATATAGTATAAAATGCTTGTTTCTTACTCTTATATTTTTATAAAATAACTTGTTCCAATCTCTCGTAGATTGCTATGTTATTATAAAATGTGCATGTGTAAATTGAATAGCGTTTAAACAAAAAATTTTATTTAATCATTATTCTGTTTAATGAGATGTATAAAAAAGGTGTTAATTTTGAAAACGCGCATGCAAGTTTTAATTGTCATGAATTTTAGACGGTTCGATACGAGCGTTCGGCTAAGACGATGATTTTGGTACCATTCTTAGTCTCGGCCTCTCACTCTCAAACTTTCAGCATCGGCATCAGCCCTCTCGCAGCAGCGAGAGTGGGGAAGTTTACGTCGTAAACTTCAGGTCTTAAGGGTGGAATTATAGTTCGGCGGAGCGAGCGCCGCGCAACGCAGTTGTTACCACGACGAGCGCTTTAAAAGTTGGTTCCGGGTCTTCGTGTTGGTTCGAGGGGGAGTAGGGAAGTGGATTCCGGGAGGATGGAAAGCGCGGGACGACGTGAAAGGAACGAGAAGGGGATGGAGACGCGGTTAAGTTGCCAGGAAACTTTGGTAAAACTGAAAAGTTAATTTCGTCGTGTTAAATTACTCGAGCGCCCGGGCATTAAACTTGCAAAAGTTGGTCGGATGACTGAAATACGTATCCTCCCGTCTCTCTCCTCCTCCCTTGTCTCTCTTCTTTTCCTCTTTACTTTTACCCCTGCTAATTGATCTAAGACGCGAGAATATAGCAAAATCTGATTACTTATTCCGAATTGAAACAGAAATGTGTAAACAGAAATGTTACAAAATAGGGGCTAATTAATAATTTAAACATTTGTTTGCTTATATTATATTATTCGTTAATTGAGAGATTTTTGTAATGGATATCCTGTGATAGATTTATTGATTTTTATATTATCTTCAAAAGTTTCATACAAAAAAACCTTTTGCTTTAATTAGTTAATATATAATATATAAATCATTGCTCAATTAGTTAATATTTTTTATTATTATCTATATTTTATTTAATATAATGTCTCTTTCTCTCTTTTTTAATAAATTTTACTCAAGATTAAATGCATTTATCTCATACATTTATGAGTCGAGTTATTCTATTATTATACTTCGCTGTATAATTCATCTGTATTCATGCTGTATGATATCTGGGATTATATAATAATATCACACAAATGTTTTAAGCTTTTCCTTTCTTTCTTGTCATTGAATCCTTTTTTATCTACAGATGATTTGACTAATAAAATTAATTTATATAATTAATTTTTTTTAATTACATTTCTTTAGAAAAATTAGATAATATTCAAATTATAATATCAGTTACAAAACATAAGGAGAATTAAACTTTTAGGAATTAAACTTTGAAAACTTTCAAAGGGACAATAAAATTTTACTTTTTGTTTATTTTTCTTTCAAAATTGAATAATAAAATCCACAAACAAAAAGTTCGCTCGCTTGCTTGCAGATATGTTTTATATAAAACATTTAAAGTTTAATATATCTATAAAATATTTCATGTTTAAATATTTGCTAAAATAGACCGTTAGTGAATTGTCTTGTGAAATCTGTTAAACGAATCTATCGGATGTAATCGATCACACTTTATTTAATTCTCGGGTCGTGTTTCAAATCGGTCGAAGTTCAGAAGAGCGTGCTCGTAACGGGCGGTGCACGTTTATGGCGAATCGATTGAGGAGAAATAGGAAGGAAGTAGGAAAAGGTTGAGAGATATTGTCTTGCAAAAATCTATTTATCCGCGTGATTTATCATAGAATCGATGATTTAACGTATATACGATTTTTCATCAAAAGATTATAGATAATTTATCGATATGTGAATCGAAACGTAGAGTCACATGCAATAATGTAATCAGATATGCAGGTCCTGTGAAGTACCTAAAGTATATTTGACTAATAGGAGAACAAATTATAAAAAAATATTAAATTACAATTATATAAAAATTTTTCTTTAAAATCAACATTAACTTAATTTAAAAAATTTATTATATTTAAAATATTTAATTAAAATATCATTAACATATTCTTAATATTAAATATTTTTTTAATATTAATTTTTTTCAATAATGAATATAATACTTTCAATATTAAATTTTTAATATTAAATATTGTAAAGAGAAAAGATCTTTATGTGTCAAAAGGCTATGTATGTGAATGATTTTCGGATATTAATGACTTTTAAAAGCATATATGTTGTAAAAGTTAATATTCAAAATTTTTTACAAGCATTGTCGGATATCAGCGACTAATTAGAGATGTATGTATATATATATGTATGCATTATGGCTGAATGCGTCCAATCGATCGGCACGAACAGTCGTTGCAACTGGGTGATCAAAGCTGGTTATATTTGCAGCATATCTACTGTGAATTGCATCAGAATTAATCTCAATGAATTGCATTAGTTTTTTACACAAAACTTGACATCTTATTATATAAATTCTTATTTATTATTTAATTAAAAGAAGACTGAAACATACAGATCATTTTTAAAGTATTGTTTTAAATACTTTAATATACTTTAAATACTTTAATATATTTGTAAACTAGATTCTATATCAATAGAAAATGAATCGATGATTATGTATTTATGAAACAAAATTGTTTTAAATAACTAATTTTTTAAATTTATATCACTGATGTATATATTATATACATATATATATATATATATATATATATATATATAATAGAAAAAAAGAAAGAGAGGGAAAAAGTAAAAAAGATGCACATATGTATAAAAAGATTTGTATAAAGAGTGAGAGATATTCTTAACTTTTGTAGATTTGTTATTGATAGTTAAAAAAAACATTCTTGTTTCTTTTTTCGTTGATGATTCGGTAAGGTCACGGTCGTAATCCTCGCCGATGTATGTACACATGCTTCCAATTTACAAGCCAGTTAAAGAATGTGTTTTTGCGCACACGCGCGATATGACGCGTACATAAACACGTGAGAGAGACAAACTTTCGACAGTATTAGGGGAGTTTTTGCACAGGTATGTGAGAGCGGAGATGTGTTTCATAAGTAGATTTTATGGAAGTCGTATTAATCTATGTTGAAAAGAGATTCTTTTACGGATCGTTACCAATTTTTGATACATGTACGTTTTCAAGAATTAAAACTGTAAACTTTAATAAAATTCGTTTAGCTCGTATTGTTTAGAAAAATCTGTAAATAACAAAAATTGTTTCAAAACAAATGAAAATATATACATATATAATTAATAGCTGTATGTGCTATTATGTGGCTATGCTATAATTATCAATGCACTCTTATTCTTTCTCATTAATTATAGGTGATTTCGATTGCATTAATATGGAGCTATCTTCTATATAGCGATAGATATTTTATTCTATTTATATAGATATTTTATACTATTTTTTTTATTTCTATTTTTTCCGATATATTTTTTCGTATACTATAGAATCATCAACACACAATTTCATAGTTTATCCAGTAAATATCAGAGTCTGGACGTTCGATATTTGGATAGTCTGTGAGTTCGGATGTTGGCGAAATCACGGTCGCGACTACGTTATGGTGAGAGCATGCGCGCCCGTTTCTATCTCCCTCTCACCTATCCTTGTCTCGGAAAACTTTCCGGTGATGAGCTTTGTTGGTCGTTTCCCCAGCAGGACGGAAAAGTTAAATGCGAAAGTTTTATCCGATATCCAGTACCTCTGCGCCCCTGGAAAAAGGTGTCTACGCACATGGTACATTCGGATTGTTCGCGTGATTATAGTAATATGTTTCACCATATTTTCGTTATAAATAAAATTTGCATATTAAAAGTAAAATAAGATTTAATTTATTTTTTGACATATTTAACATTACACATTATGAACTAAAATTTTATATTCCTTCTGGATATTTTTCTAATTTAATAAAGGATAACAACAGACTAAATTCAGGTTGGATTTTGAAATTAAAGAAAAGCAACAAATATATATATACTAAATTATGAATGACAAACGTTTCGCAGAGGTAACTGCAGAGAATAATACTAGATTCGTGTTTAATTATTTGAGACATGGGAGATATTTTACTTTAAAAGTTGTTGAATCATTATTAAAGTGCGGATTTATTTGTCGACAGAATGGCGTCCAGGAAAACAAGACAGAATCACTCGATACAACATCTGCTCGAGTTACCTTCAAACCGAGAGTCGAAATTACCACGATTTCCCGCGAAGGAGCACACCCAATCGCCACCGTCCATGCCAACCCTCCGCCAAGTCCCGGTGACCGTGTTGCATCCCTCCCCGAAAAAGGTAAGTGGAACACGAATAACTCTTGGATAATCCGCGACAGACATACGAGTAATACAATCTCAATCAAATTGCGTAAACCTTGCGTATAATTCGCATGCACCCAACGTTATTTTTGACAATGTATCGAAACGATTTATTGAAATTATTAAAATCCTAAAATTATATAATCGAATAATCGAGTTTAACACGAAATTGAAAAGAAAGATTGTTCTATTTTTTAAGGACAATATGACATATTTTATTTTTGCGCACAGAATAATCGCATTAGCTTGTCAGCCATATATGTCAAATTGAGAATTAGTAATTTTGCCAAAAATATTTCTTGTTGCAGTACTGAGGTGTTTTTCATCCATAATCTTAAAATTGATTCGTTTTATATTCTTTAATTGTTCACATTGCTTGGAATTAAAATAGAAAATTAAATGTTTTTTTAATTGATTACTAATTGTATTTGTATTGTGATCTAAAGAATTTTGACAAAGTTAAAATCATGATGAGAAAAACAAGATAATTTTAGCGGGTTTTAAAATTATTATTTATCAACAAGACATTAATATTACCTATATCCTTGGACTTTTATACCTGACAAATTTAAATAGAAATTTGCAAGGATACCTCAAATTTGCCGCAACATGAAAAGATCTATGAGGAACGTAAAACGAAATGATTGTAACGACATAAAGCGCTGACGTTTCACATTGTCACGCAGTAGCTGTTTTTATCGATCATTTCATACATGGGACATTGTTATTACTCGTATAAATGTCGACGCAAGCTTGAATCCGTGCTGCACAGCGGAAGAGATTATTTTCAGATTTGCTTTCATTATTGACGATCTTGTATTCTTATTAATAGCGTTTTGGTCTTATTATATGATTCGTGTTAAACAAGACTAAATTGATTATGGAAAGAGTATACGAGTGAAATTATGCATTATGTATAACATTACCAAATTATTTTTTAAAATATAATGTCTTTAATGAGATCTCAATTTATGATCTAAATTAAAATAACATTTTTCATTTAATATATTGACAACAAGTTTATATATTATTTTGCAAGAAAAAAGCGCATACATTTAAAAGAAATTTCAAAATTTATAGTAGATACAGTATACTAGATTATAGTATATATATAGTAGTTATATATACTTGATTCAATACTCAAAAAGATGTTTCTACAATTTCTGTTTCTAATTTTTGTAATCGATATTTAATTAAATATGATTATGATTCTAAAACACAAATAATTATATATGAGACGTATGGTTTTGACTCAACAGATCATTAGTATATTTATACTTAAAAATTTTCATTGATGCATAATGCAAATTTTGTGATATATTATTAATTACGTTTAATTGAAATTAGACTAAGATCGTTGTTCCATAAATGTCTCAGTTGAACATATTTAATATAATTATCGTTTTAGTATAATTTAATCGGATTACTATCGGATGATGATATATAAAATTTTTCAAATTTATCATTTATTTTAATGGCTCTTTATTAATAATAATTGTTTATGTTTAATAGCTGAGTAGTTTTTATATTTTATTGTTAAATTAATTAAGAGAAAAATGTATTATTATCTTGAGTGATTATCTTATCGACTTGCTATTGCATTATCGGCCGATAAACGAGATATCTTCGCTTATTCTATGAAGCTGAGGGAATTTCTCGACGTCGTTTCAATCGATACGACAAAGGCAGTTGCCGAGGAAGTAGAGCTCTTCTTTAGCGTCATAAGGAATGGGAATTCTTTTTTTAAAAATAGAAAATATATAATTGCAATAGAAGCTTTTCAAACCTTGCATAATTATTTATTATAATTATTTCAAATTAAATACATTAATATTTTATCAATACAAATAGAAAACAAATTATCGATTTTTGAGGTATTTTCTTTGAGTATTATTACAGAAATTATATTATCATAATTTAAACTTAACATTATAAACGATTTACTTGTCAATAAACGAAAACTCTTATTTTTTTTCTTCATAAAATGTATGTTTAAGTTATAATTAAAGAAAGGAATATGCAACGTATGAAAAGAACGGAGGACAGGATAAATGTAATTGCAAAAGATATCTTTCGTAAAAGTAGAGATGGGCACTTTACAGGGATATAATTTGCTATTGAAATCTTGTGAATGGAACTACAGCAGAAGCGTCTTGAACATACGCAAGATGGTAGGCAGGGGGAGGTGAATTTATGATAATTGCATAAATCAGAGCTTTCCTCCACAATAATCATAATCTATTGGGATAGTTGTGCGAAGTTAGCTATTTAGCCGTCGGCAAGGATCAGGGGAAGGAGTTCGAGGGGTTGTTCTGCACGGTCCTGAATAAGATAAAGTCCTTGCTGAGATTGAAGCTAGGAGGATGATCATGTTCATTCTTGAATTATCATAGATGCATTACTATAATTTGCTTAATGAAAATTAATATTTTTGACAGCTTGTATAGAATAATTTAAAAACTATAATTTGTGAAATAATTTTTTATCAAAATTTGAGACATAATCATCAAAATATATAAAATTAGCAAAAAATGTATACATAAGAAAGAAAAAATATATTTTTAGAAATATATTTTTAAAAATCAATAAGAGAAGCTTCAGTAGAGATGAAGTTAAAAGCTAGTAGAATAGAGGGTGCCACCAGAGCAATCCCCTGGAATTTAAATGTTATATCTTGCTTAAGATTGTTTCAATCTTTTACAATATTTCAGTAAACATTTAGATATAATAGTAAAATGTGTATGTGTCTATAATATATATTAAAATATTATTATGATGTTTTATTATCGCGAAGTAGCAAAATTAAATTTTTAAAGACATGGAATTTTTAAAACTGTTTTTTAATGTAAAGAATAATGTAAAGAATTTTAAATTAAATATTATTTTTTAGCAAAATTTATAGAAGTTACTAACAAATATGAGAGATTATATTTTTTTATATAACATGTATATTATATAAGTATTTACTTTATTAAAATTTCAATTTTATAAATCTTTAAAATCTTAAAAGCATTTAATTTAAAATATTTATTTATTCGCAAGAATAGAAAAATCATAATATTTTTTTATTATATTTTTTATTATATTATAAGCATTTGATTTGAAACAATTATCTTTATATTTGACATTACCTGCTTTCTCTCATCAAATGTAAATTTTATTTATTGCAAAAGTACATGATCATATTCAATATGACTTGCGTTATTGCCAAAAGTTTAATCACATGTTCAGTCTTATAATAGCGTGTCATGGAAAGCGCGATTAGGGATCATATATTGTTTAGTACTTTCATAAGAACGAGTGTCACCCTAAAGTTATCGAAATTGACCCTAATACTCCCAACTTTAGTAGCCAGTAACGTTAAAACGCCATCAACCCGGCTTCTTGGCTATGGGAAATCGACGGCTGACTGTCATTTCGGAATCGTTGGTGATTTCTTTATTAACGGCATGGGTCTTCGCCCAGGCATCGCTCGAATATTAATGTCGAAATCTGCGCCTCAACTTTCATGATCGTTATGGTTACGATTACGATTACGAGCAGCCGTTTCTCTTAAAGGGGAACCCTTATCCTGGCTCTATAATATTCTTTCGACGTACGAGATAATCTTTTATATTCTCGATACGATGATGGTGAACATTAGAATTAAGAAAGCAAGGAAAAGATGAACAGTACCCTTATTTTAATTAAAAATCAACGATATTTAGTAGATTTTTAAATAAATTAAATTAAAAGTAACAAATATTTTCTTGATTTGTTAAATTAATTGACAATATCGTAATAAAAACTATTGATTGATTAACTATATTTTTTTATGATGATGAAAATATATAGTTAAAAAATTGACTACTTACTAGAAGTTTATAGAAAGCTAAACAAATCTGTTTGGGCATGTGCTAATCTCACGGTAGGTTGGAAAACGCAGCGTTAAAATACCGGAAAGCCAGCCCCAAATCCGCTTAAGGACGCGTATTTATTACTTACGGCCGTCTGCCTCGCTTCGACCTCTGATTCGTATCTTTTATACCTGCCGTATTATAGTAAAAACAATATTCGGTTATATTTCCTACAACCGTAAATCGATTGATAACATATGGCATTTTTATTGACGAAAAATTAATTCTATTCCCTCTCTTTCTGTTTTTCTCTCTTTCTTTCCCTATTTTTCTCAAATTAGATGAAAAGATTAATTTATGAAATAATCAAATATATCTTCAGTTAAGTTATATCGAATTTTTGGACGTACATTTCCGAGTTCTTGTATTTTTCATTACGATTGTCATTCATCATGATTGCCATTCGACCTATTCCCTAGGAAACTTATTTTTTTATATTTTGCAAGACACTGTTAGCGATTCTCTCCAGGGAACCTGAAAAGATGAACAGTACCCTTTAACTTTGTCGAGCTGGCTGTCACGTTGATCGGGGTTGGAACGAACCCTCCAATTCACTCGGTGGGAGTAGCCACGCGGTTGAGTGAATTTTTATGAATGAATGCGCGAGGATACGCAGAGATCCAAGGCTTTGGAATGTGCACCCTGTTTTCACCCCTGTACCTATATTTACGACAGTGACTCTCAGTTAAAAATTTTATCAAGCGTTTATAACGGAGCGATCGAGCGAGACAATTTTTTAAATTAGTCGCGCTACTTTAAGGGACGAAATTCCATGTTAAAAATAGAAGCTTCCGGAATATTATTTCGATCACTGATACTATTTAGCAACGTACCCTTTTTTATTACCTTTCAGGGCAAACTTTTTCTGTAAAAAGATTATTTAACAGAATTTGACAGATTTTTTTATTGTTTATATATATATATATATATATATATATATATATATTTATTTATTTATTTATTTATTTGAGTTGATTTTTTTACGCGTCCATAGTATATTTTTTACGCACTTCTAATATTTTCCGCAGTATGAAAACAATAATTGTGCACCAACATCGTTGTACTCTTTAGCCACAGAGCG